CAGGATGGGTCCCAGTCTGTTGCCTGGTCGTGTGCAGGACTGCACAACTCATTGCAGTAATGTGACCTTGTCAATTAGTTGTAGTTCGCTGCCGTGATGTACACAAATATGATGGGTTGTGTGTGTGTGTGTGTGTGTGTGTTTGTGTGTTTGTGTGTGTGTGTCCCCCTTCCTTTTCACCATTTGGTTCCTACAAACACACCTGTGAGGTAGGCTAGGCTGTGAGAAAATGACCAATCCAAGTCTGCCCAGTGATAATTGGGCTGAATTTAGTGCAACTTGTATATGATGGCTTTGAGAATTTTTGACCTGGGACCTTTTCTGGACTGGGGTTGTATGTCAGTCAACCCAGTAAAAACCAATCGTACCCTCAGATTCTTTCCTCCACTTACCAGTTAAGCTGAGTGATGTGAAACGTTGACATTTGTTTTCATCTATGAAGAAGCGTGAGTAAACAGAAACATTTTATTCTTTTTCATTACCAGAGTCTCTGAGTGAGTGTATTGAGACAGGAAGTGCCAGTTGAGGTAAACTAACAAATAAGAGGTGGTCTGTTAAGGGAGACTTGAAGCCAATCTGTCCTGTAGGTTCCTGTCTGAACCGTTTATATCTATCACACAATAAAAGGGTGTTTTTTTTTAAAATTAAGCCACATTAATTCCTCGCCTAGTCTGCCCCCAAGAAATTGTAACTGAGCGATCACTTGAACTCAGTTTCCTGCAGATTCTAACATCCGATTCCAGCCCCTATATCAAGCTAAGTCTCGGTAAAATGCAGCACTATTATTCCTGTATTTGAGGCTTGAACTAATTTTTTTTCAAAAAAATAAAATGTTAGCAAAGTGTCTCGCATTCCTCATGAGATGCAAATATTTCTTATCGAAAGGAACGTTGAGTAAGAGGCGCAATTAGCTAATAGGACAAATATTTTTGAAGGGAGGAGAGGCTCCCCTCCTGAGCAAGACTCTGACAGATCTTTCCAAGTCTTCTGGGGCTCGTCATGCCGTTTTGTCATCACGTCGAGCTTCGCCAAAGGCTCGTATTTTGCAGGAAAAACTCCTCATTCAGAACGTGGCAGTTGCACAGAACATGCCGGCCGTCAGTGCCAAGCGGAATCTCAAGCATCGCTGTGCTTTTCTGAGCATCCAGCTGGGGAGGGAAATTTTACATCCCGTGGGGGGGGGCAAAGAGACAGCTGTCAAAGCCTGCGCCTGCCCATGCCGGAAAGGGCTGCTGCAATGTCAGTTTGTTTAAATCCTTGTTATTTAATTTTAACTTAGTTTAATTCGGAGTGCTTTGTTGTATTAGATCTATGTTTGTCTTAGAGCTTGGCACCTCTCCTCTTGCTTTCTAAGAGTATTAGGATGGAAGTCTTTATCTCCCTCCTACTTTTATGGGCATCCCTTCTGAGTTTAACATTCCTTTGGGTTAACAAGCATTTGTGTTTCGGTTGCTCTGCCCTGGCAGTTCGCTCTTCGAAGCCACCTACGTGGGTCTGTTTACCCAGCCGCAAGGTCACCCTGGCCTCTAGACCTCAGGATATCTTACCCCCCTGAGAGCAGCTTGGCTCTTTTAAACGGCACCCCCTGGGTCTTTACTGCTCCTCGACAAGATTTAAACAGCAACCAGATTGCATCACAAACAGCCAAACTACACACCCTGTGGATTCACATTATAATGGCAGCTGTTGCTCAGCGCTTGGAAAAATGTTCATTTTTTTTTTAGGAGAAAGAATTTTTTAAAATTCTTTACTTACAGTTGCTTGAAATGCAACAGACTTGTGCATGCAACTTTCTTTACTGCACACATGCATTTGACTATCCCTTTTAAAAAAAAACACACAAATCAATGCATATATGCATCTGTTTGAGATTTGCTGTGTTCCTCCTGGTTCTTTCCCCTCCTGGATTGAATACTCTATTAGTAGCTCCATCCCTTTATGGCCGAACATGGGCTTGTTTTCACTTGGAATTATTGGCTTTCTTGACATCTGCCAAAGACTTTGATGTCGACGGGTGAAAAGTACAGCTGGGCTTTTTGGTTTGCAAAATATTTTGCTCCGAGGCATACGAAAAAAAAAAGGCCGTCCACCTGATCTCGGTATATTCTTTCCAGATTTTTGTTTTTCAATTAAAGAGCTATTTAGAACTGTTGCATAATCAGGCAGTCATTGTTATGATTGGGCTTTTCTGAGACCTTAAAAAAAAAAAAAGCAACCGACTCCATGCCCTCTTCACGCGAATCGCTAGGTTTTTAACAGGCAAAACTCCTCAACGCTTTCCCTCTGGAAGGTTGCAGACCTTATACAAGCAATGTTATAGAGACCGCTAGGCTTGGGATATGATGATTTGACTCTGATGTATGACTAATCTTCCAGCACAAAGAGAATCAAGGAGGCTCAGCTGAGAAAACTTGGCAGCCGAAGTAACATAAAATAAAAATTGAGCATTGCTTAAGCCTTGCGTAGCAGATTGCTCCCCAGGGGCCAAGGGGAAGCATGTACTTGGTGAGAAGCATTTGAAACCACAATCTGTGAGTGTCTCTTCTTCCCTTTGTGATGCTTTTGTGCGAACTTACCAAATCGGGGGGCGAATAGCCGAAGAACGGAGCTACTGCGAACACCAAGCTGTCTTTTCCGAAACAAGTTTCAATTGGGGTGTGTGTGTCCATTTGCAATGAAGTCGATCGAAAGATGGCGTTGTGCCAACAGGAGCATGGAATTGTTATTGGCCAATGTTTTAAACATTGTTTTCGAAAGGCAGGAATCTGGAGTGATCTGTCAAGGGGGGGGGACACAGAAATCCCCATGGTGGGTCAACTTGCGCCTTGTATCCACCAATGGTTCCCAACTTTGAGTTGCCAGATGTTCATGGGCTCAAATTCCCAGAAGCCTTCACCACCAGCTCTGCTGGCCAGGATTTCTGGGAGCTGTAGTCCAAGAACATCTGGAGACCCCAAGGTTGGGAACCGCCGGTGTGGACAATTCTCAGTAGACAAAACTGTTGAGCTAAGAAGAGCGGTGGTCTGAATCAGTAGAAGACACTTCCTTCTGTTTCTTACTGGTGAAATTGCCATTTCCCCCCCACCTTAAGCCCACACCAGCCACCCCTTCTTGGGGTAACCTAGCTGAAATGTTCAGGCTCTAACGATACAATAAGCCGCCATCCCAATCCATCAAGTTAACAAACACTCTGTTATATCTTTGAAACCTCCTAGCTTGCAAGTGTATTTCCTTCCTCTCTCTGTAGCAGGGATCTGTTCTCCAATAAAGACTCGGGAGAACCATTAAACAATGTCAAAAAAAACTCAGGAGAAAACAACCCAATCTACCATTTCCCCCTCCTGGCTGAAAATGGCTCTAAATGGGAATGCAATTCCCTAGGAAGACTTTAAAAAATACTAATAATAATAGTGGAAGAAGAGCGTTGGGCGAAGGAACGGTCAGGATGTTTATTTGTTGGGCAGGTCTCCGGTAACACTGGCTACAGCCAAGTCGAAATGCGGCCAAGCATCTCCTGGCGATGAAGTTGTGTGTGTGAGAGAGACTCTTCCTTTTTTGTGTGTGTAGAAGAGAAGAGGCAAAGATGCCCCAGAGGTTTACGGTAGATGCTTTAATTTCGCCCCTCTTCCTGCGATCTCTGGGTCCGGCAAAGCACCATCACAAGGATGATGCTTCATGCTTTTGTTGCTGATCAGCCAGGCTGGTAGTTGATTGGAAATGTCCTCCCTGCCAGGATTCAAGAAAAAGGGAATTAAAACTCACCCCTTACCAAATAAGAGAAAGGGTGGCCATGGATTACCGTATCTTTCCATGTATAAGACTATACTTTTGTCTAAAATCTTTTTCGGGGGTCGTCTTATACACAGAAGTAAGCTGAGGAGAGAACAAAAACAAGTGGAGGGGAAAGCAGGGATCGAAGCGATCCTGCAGCGCTTTGATCCCTTTCCGCCTACACTTGCTAAGCCCCACTTAGATTTTTAAATTTTGGATTAGAAAAGTGGGGGGCGTCTTATACATGGGGCATTTTATACAAAGAAAAATATGGTAAATAACGATTATGGAGATCAATCAGCTGGGATTTATTTCAGATGGGATTTCACTGTCCCTTAATGACCAAGTTCACAGTCCAGTGGGCGGGCGCAGAACTCCAGACTTGGCTAATTTTCATGTGATAACTGAGAAAACATATTTATTTCACCTTTCTCAGCCCAAGATTTTGGTTTGTTGGTCTGATAGAGCTAATGCGTATTCTTGAGAATGGGTCCTGTAAAATGTCGGATATCATGGTAATTTTGCCCTCATGCATGAACAAGTGATCACAGTAGCAATGGATGGGTTGTTTGTGTCTTTCCGTCCACCCACTTGTTCTTTTGTGCCTAATGTCAATTTGGGGGGGGCTGTTGGTGTGTACTTCACTTGAAAACATTGTCACTGGCTGGAGATATTAAAAGAGTAAAAGAAAAATCCCAGAAACACATTACTAAACATGTTCTGAATGTTTTATGTAAATGTATTTTTATATTTTGATGTTCTTCATTTGCAATTTATTATTTCTATTATCTCTTTTGTTAAATTGTATTTTAAGCCTATTGTTTATATAAGTTGTAAAATTGCCCGGATGTGCGGTACAAAAATGAAATAACACCACCCCTACTACTGCTACTGCTACTACTAAAGATGAAGTTGTCAGAACTGGCCTCTAGGGGGAGCAAGAGACATGCTGTCTATCTATAGCATTCACTTTCAAAACGGTGTTTGCTATTATCCACGTTTTTCAGCATCCACAAGGGGGGATTGGAACTGATCCCCCACGGTTGGGAGTGTTCTACTGTATAATCTATAATCTTAGAACTGCAGAGCTGGAAGAGACCCTATAAGTTGATTCCAGCCCCTGTCAAGGAGACCCAGTGGGGAATCAAACTTGCAACCACTGACTGATCTCCTACTAAAAACAACTTTAATAAGCTTTTGGAAACCTGTATGCTTTCTATTCTTTTCAGACTCCTTTCCAGTACAGGCAAGTACTGAATGCAAGCAACGAAGTCCATCTGTACTGTGCTTTTCTAGATTACAGGTACGTGACAGATATTTTTTTTTATTTTAAAAATCACTTTCCATTGAGACGCTTGATCCGAGGGGTTGAGTCATGTTAAAGGCAGTAGTTGTAATGGTGGAGTATTCTGACCCACCCACTCCTCCCTCTTGGAATTCATGGGAACAGTCAAAACAATGAAATCATGAGCAGTAAAATAAAAAACAGACCGCTCGCCCGTTATTCACCTAAGGGAAGGGATTTCTTCTTCACATCTGGATAGAAAGGGAAAACCGGAGGAGATTTAAAATGAAAACCCACCATATGGGCTAGAAGGTTAATCATGCTTTCGAACGACCTCCCAAACTCGGCCCGTTCCCATACTTTGAGCAAAATTCAGCAGAAACAGTGTTAATTATAGTCTGATGTTTAGAGTTTGTTGATGAGTGGAAATTAGGAAAGTTTTTTTTTTCCTTTCCATCCTTAGCTAGCAGAATGCTCATTTTTGGTTCAATGTGCAGTTTTGTGAACGGTAGGGGCTGGTTTTCAAATGCCCCCCCCTGAGTCGTAACTAAGAACGGACATAAAAAGGTGTAGTCAGAGCAGGAAATGGCAGCGTTTATAGAGGCTACTTTGGGAAATTGATTCATTTGAAATGTAGTGCCTTTTTTTCCTTTCCATCCTTAGCTAGCAGAATGCTCATTTTTGGTTCAATGTGCAGTTTTGTGAACGGTAGGGGCTGGTTTTCAAATGCCCCCCCCTGAGTCGTAACTAAGAACGGACATAAAAAGGTGTAGTCAGAGCAGGAAATGGCAGCGTTTATAGAGGCTACTTTGGGAAATTGATTCATTTGAAATGTGGTGCCGGAGGACAGCTTTGCTGATACTCTGGACAGCCGGAAAGGCAAACCAGTGGGTGCTAGATCAAATCAAACCTGAACATTCTCTGGAGGCAAACGTGGTGAAGCTGAGGCTGGCCTACTTTGGAAACATCATGAGGAGGTCAGATTCTTTGGGTGAAAAATGTCGAGAAAGGTGGAAGACAACAGGAAAAGAGGAAGACCAAAACATGAGATGGACTGACACACTAAAGGAAGCCACATGTTTAAGTTTTCAAGGGTTGAGTTGGGCTGTTGAGGACAGGGCATTTTGGAGATCCCTCATTCATAGGTTCGCCATGGGTCAGAGGTGACTTGATGACACATAACAATGACTTGGGGGGCTCCCCCCCCACCTTTGCCATTGGAATCTTGACACCTCTGGGTATCTTAGTTGCAGGAGAGAGCAGCTTTCCAAAACACACATAAGAATAAGAGAGCTGTCCGTTTGGGAATTTTTTTGGCTGGAGCAAACCAGAAGTGTATGCAGCTGGAAAGCAAATCCTTCAACCATGGGGCTCATTTGCATATCCAATCACCGGTAATGAATACAACCTTCACACACTATTTGCATAACATATGGTGGGTGCCAAGCTTCACTTAGTCTGCAAAGCTTTTAAAGGGCTTGTTTTACATAGTCGTGAGCCAGAGGTGGCGATCCTAGCCTTGTTTCCCCATAACAACAGAAGAATGGGTTGAATCCAGAGTTAGATCTGCAGGGCTGGAAGGGACCCAGTGGATCACTGTGTCCAGCCCCTGTCAAGGAGGCTTTCAGCAACAGACTCTAGAGAGGGAGGAAGGACTGGAGCAGAGAGGCGGGGCTCCCTTTGAAAACCAGAAGCAGGGAAAGAACAATTGGTTGTTGCTGGATAGATTGACAGTTATCCCAGCCAAGAAAGGCCCCGCCCAGCCAAAGCTGCTAAAGGCACCCTGCGAGGTTGCAAAAACTCCAACAGTTACATCCTTCGTCTTCTCTCTTCTGACCATAAATCGTCCCTTGGTTTTAAACTCAAACAGTTTTCCTAAGCTGCCTGAAACTTTGGGAAGGCAGCCTTGACGTGTTTAAAATGTACTGACCTCAGAAATAAACCTCCTTTTGGCTTCGCAGCAATGGGAGCGGCGTTTGGTCGAACGAGGGCTGCGTCCGTGAGGGTGGAGATTTCAACTATTCCATCTGCTTGTGTAACCACCTCACCAGCTTTGCCATCTTGATGCAGGTTGTCCCACTAAAGGTAAGAACCAAATGCTATAATGGTTTCTGGCTCCTTCTGGTAAATACACATTGGGAATACATATAAATAGGTACGTCTGGGAGGGGGTGTTCTTTTATTTTTTTCAACCAGTGAATAAACGAATCAGTGGATACTGTGGATAGGGAGGTCCTACCGTACAGTATTCATTTGCTTGGGGCTTTGCTCCCCTGCTTTTTTGGGGGGGCAATCTTTACATCTCTCTGTGGGGTGGAAAGACAGGGTAGGAATCTCCATCGAGCAGAAAGTTTTGCCAACATCAGACAAGCACTCTACGAAGAATATATAGAGGACAGGGTTCAGTTCCCTCGGATCATTCCAATCAAGTTCAGAAGAAAACCTGGACTGGATTTGCTGCTCCACTGGTCCAGGAGCTACCAATGTCCAGTGCCCAGGATCTTTGATATTTTGGACCAGAAAGGAAGAAGAAAGGCAGGGTAAAAAATACTGTAGATAAATAAATAAATTGCACAAGAGCAATGGGAGAGAAGACCAGTTTGACACTGCGCAATCCAAGCAGAGGGTCGTCCAACTCCCCTATTGCTTGCCAAAGACCTTGGAACTGGTTGGCTTCATTAAGGAGTGGACAGATGCAATTATAGGTAAAGGGGGGAAAGCTGCAAATGTGAATAGGACTGGGTTCCTCCCTTCAACCATCATTAAATATTGACTCTGTGTTCAGGGATTTTTCTCCCTGCCTCTCCTTACAGGCTGTTCCGACCTTGTGCTTTCCTGCTGCCAAGATCTGAATGGTTCTCCAAATTTGTTTTACTCCGGAGGCTTATTTAGTTTCTGTTCCTAACACAGAATCTCCCACTGCGAATGAAACCTTCCCTTCTTTCTTGACATGATTTCCACAAGTCCACGGGCATTCTCCTTCCATCGACAAGCCATGTTTCCTGACGTGGCACCAGGAAGAAACCTTCTCCTCCCATCGTCCATGGTGGGTAAAATTGGAAGGCCCCACTTCATGGACAAATCACCATCATCTTAGAACTCCAGGGCTGGAGGGGACCCTGTATCCTGATGTGGCATCAGGAAGAAACCTTCTCCTGCCATCGTCCATGGTGGGTAAAATTGGAAGGCCCCGCTTCATGGACAAATCATCCTTCATGGCTGGAAGGGACCCTATGGATCATCTACTCCAGCCCCTTTTAAGGAGGCCCAGTGGGGGGAATCGAACTCCCAATTTTTGGATCCGCAAGGAGAAACTTAAGCTATTGAACCTAACTGGGAAGATGGTTGTTCTGGGTTTTTCGGGCTCTGTGGCTGTGTTCTGAAGGTTGTTCTTCCTGCCGTTTCGTCAGTCTCTGTGACCGGGACCAAGAGTCGGAACTCTGTCCATGCCGGCATCTCCGTTACATAGCAACTCCCGTTTCTTTCTCCTGTTTCTTTCCGGAAGGTAACAGCGTTCCGTGTCTAAGTCGCACTGGCCATGTGACCACGGGAGATTGTCTTCGGACAAACGCTGGCTCTATGGCTTGGGAACGGGGATGAGCACCACTCCCTAGAGTCGAACACAACTGGACAAAAATTGTCAAGGGGAACCTTTACCTTTACCTAACCAGAAATCTAAACTATTGAACCTAACTGGGAAGATGGTTGTGGTGGTTTTTTTTGGGCTCTGTGGCCGTGTTCTGAAGGTTGTTCTTCCTGCCGTTTCTCCCGTCTCTGTGGCCAGGACCAGGAGTCGGAACTCTGTCTATGCGGGCATCCCCGTTATGTAGCGATTCCCGTTTCTTTCTCCTGTTTCTTTCCATGAAATTTTCCTAACGAGTTTCGTCGGGTTTCACCGCACAAAAGCTTGAAAGACGTACTTAACGCTTTCCAGAGCCGCACAGCGAGAGACTGCTGTTAGAACAGTGATCGAATAACCTGGCTTAGAACTCATTTGCTTTCAGGACCATCGAGGACATGAGATGATCTATTTTTCTTCTTAATTAATCTGTTTGCCTTCTTTGCTCGGCTGGCGGCCAGATCGCCTTGGTTGAGGGGGAATACAAAGCAGGCCTGGTTTTCCCGCGGAGAGAACATGCTTTTCTGCTGCCATCCAGCATTCTTGTCACTAAGCACGCATTATGACAAATCGGCTGGGCTCCGGATCCAAAATGTAAATTAGGCCCACATTCAGCCAAACCCACTAACCTTTGTTCTATTTTACTTTTATCAAACGCTGATGCTCCGTTCGCTTCTTGTATTCCAAGCTGAGCTTTTTTTGTCTAACTTGACATATCCTCCTCCGTTTTTTTGTATGCCTGATGAAAAGCACGGTGCAAAAGATACGGTGAGGGGCTAAGACGTGTCTTGTTATGTTAGACGAAAGGCTCCGTGCAACCAGATTTGGCCTTTGAAACTGTTCGGATTTTTTGCAACCTCGCATGCAACCGCTAGCAGGAGTGGCTGGGAGGAGCCTAACTGGGCTGGAGTGGCTGTCAATCAATGACAGCATTGGCCAATAGTTTCCTTCCCTGCTGCCTCTGACTCTCCTTTTGAATTCTTTCTCTTTCTCTTTAGTCTATTGGCAGGCGGCTGATCTGTTGAGGCCTCTCACTGAAAGTCAGTGGGCTGCGTTTTGTTCAGTTTACTCTTTCTGCTTCAAACATCTTGCAGTGAGGTGTTGAGACTGTAAGTGCCAATTGATGAGAAAAAAAGGTGTGGTCTAATCTGGGGAACTTGATGCTATTTGGCGGCATGAATCTCTTCACTTCTGCTGTACAGCTGCAGGAATTCAAATCTTTGCAACAGAAACGGCTTTGATTATAAAGGGCGGTGGCTATTCATCTAGAGGAGCAAGGAATCTGGGAGAAACCCAGCCGATCCGATAAGATCCTGCAAGGCCAGAGGAAGGGAGATCTGGATCTTTCTGGATCCATATCCTGCTCTGGTGAATTTCACCCCAGGATTTGATGAATGGATGGAGGCCCCCCCGGAGAGGTCCCGTTGGCTTCTGGACTACCTGTGCTCAAAAATATATATATCTATATCTGCTTGGTCTTACAGTCTACCTCGATCAGGAACATCATGTCTCTCCCTAGACTCCAGTTTATGGCCATAACATTACTGATGATTTCCACCCCTGCGAGAAACAATGGTAGCTATTTAAAAAACACAACACCCAAACAATTCCCAGGCTCCCAGACCAGACACCAGATCCTGCACAGAGTACAGAAAATCCAGGACGTGCAGAACTGAAGAAGGCACCGTGTTCTGATAGTAAATCAGGGGGAACATTTACGACCCAGCGCAATTAAAGAAAAATCCTAGCTTGGTTGGCCCTAAACCTCTTTATACATATATTAAAAAGAAAATGAAATGGTTCCCCGTGGCTTTAAGAGGAACTTTCTCTCTTTTTGCCTGTTAATAAAGTAAAAATCTAAGTTGAAAAGCACAGCTGGACCTTAGTACCATCGCTGTGTGAGTTGAAGGGGGAGAGGTTGAAATGGCTGATGTGTTGGGAATGGTAACAACTTGTGCTATAAGTTACACTCTTTCATTGCCCTACCTTTTTCTCTGACTTTAGATCTTTGAGAATAACCCCCCCCCCCAAACTGGAACTCAGACCCTCTAAATTAGAGGATAGTAATGGGTAGGCACTCAACCCTGAGTGCTCACTGGAAGGACAGATCCTGAAGCTAAGGCTCCAATAATTTGGCCATCTCATGGGAAAAGAAGACTCCCTGGAAAAGACCCTGATGTTGGGAAAGTGTGAAGGCAAGAGGAGAAGGGGACGACAGAGGATGAGATGGTTGGACATGGTCATCGAAGCGACCAACATGACTTTGACCCAACTCCAGGAGGCAGTGGAAGACAGGAGGGCCTGGCGTGCTCTGGTCCATGGGGTCACGAAGAGTCGGACACAACTAAATGACTAAACAACAACAATGGTGACAGCAGAACAACACATTCTGGGTTTTCCATAAGCATCCTGAGACCTTAGAGTTATATACATGTTCTTGCGTTGTTATTGTTACTTCGAGGCAGCAGGAGAATCAATTTGGTCCCCCATTGAAATGTGGACATAGCTCTTATTTTAGAAGACTTTACGGCTTCCCTTTGCCAGCCTTTAGGCTCCGATTCTAGGTCGGGATGTTCCCACATCCTTGCCACGTTGCTCGTGCCGTAGACTTTGTGCTTTTATCTCTTAGCATAGGAGAAAGAAATATTTCTCCAAAGCTACAATACTCTATGCTTTAGGAGGCCATTCTTTCCGAAGGCGTGGCTTCTGCATTTCTGGAGCTAATAAGGCTTAATAAAGAGATACATTATGGGAAAGAAAAGGGGATCAATATTCTTCTGATTTTCTTAACAAAAGGGCCGATGAACCTTGAGGTTCTCAGTAAACACAAACACGTAAGACGTGTCTTTGAATTTTGGTGGTAAAGGAAGGAGGGCAGGCTTTTCTGAGCAGGCGGGTAGCATCTCCGTGGCTGTCAGAAGGCTTAAGCATAAGCCATGGACCCAGCGGGGAGATTTGCACCTGGAGTAGGTGTGCCAATGGCCCTGTCTCTTTCGTGTCTTGTTTTCAGCCTTGGTGGAACGGTCGGGAATCGCATCCTTCAGCAGATCAAAAAGAGAGGAAGAAAATTCTTGTAAGAAAAAGTATCTGAAGCTGTGCGGGAGCTCGGCTTTCGACCTCTTTCTCGGTGGGGTTTTTTACTCTTTTGGAACATCATTTTCTTTCTTTTTTGCAATTAACAAGATCACCAGAATGGAAATTTTAAAATTAAAAAAAACCCAACCCATGTCAATCCCCCGAAATATGAATCTGTGAACCGTGGACTGAATTGATGTGAGCACAGTGTTCAGGGGAGTGCTGTCCACTTTTTGCAGTCTGGCAGAGGGTGCTGTGCACCAGCGGAGGTGGATGTCACTGATTTTGCAGGGGGTGATGAGACCGTTCCAGGTTTTAGTATGAAATTTACACGTGCTGTCACCCCCCAAACACATTCTGCAGTCACATTCGGATTCAGTTCTGGAGTGGG